TATATATATATGGAGAGAAAGAGGGAAAGCCAGGAGTCCTTATCTGAGCGCTTGTTTCCCAGTGAGGCAGTGGCCTCTTGAGCCATTTGAAGCTTCCTCTGAGTGACGGGCCGTAAAGACAAATGCTTGTTAAGTCGCTCATTCAATGACTCGCAGAGCAGAAAAGGATCTAAGTGTTAAAAAAACACACACACACACACACACACACACTGCCTTTTCTATCCCCCTCCACTCCCCACCCCGCCCTGTCAGCTGAAGCTTAGGTTGGCTGTGTTCAGTTCCACCACTAATCTGTCAATTACAGCCTAAAAGCCTCCACCATGTCACTGCCACGTTTAATAAACTGGGGCTGAATGTTGATTTTTGTAATTTCTTAAAAAAACGTTATCCTCCTTCTTTATTTTTTTTTTAATTTTCACTTTTCTTTCTTAGACCATGACTGTGACTGATAGCTAAAACTTGATGTGTGCTGCAGCCTCCTCCCTGTTTTCAGTCACACTCGTGACACGGCTCGTGGAGATGACATTATGTCAGTTGCTTCTCCCACCAAAAATATTTCTGCTATTTTTATCCATCTCAAGCAGCACATTTGACAAAAATGTAAAAGCTGGCACAAAAAAAAGGCATGCAAATCATATGATATCACCTCTGTATGATACTTTAAAGGGGTTTTCAAATGGTAAACTGCAGTCTGGACCTGAATAAAAATGCAAATGGTCTGAATTTATATAGAGCTTTATCGTCTAAGGTGTCAATGTTTTTTTTTTTTTTTAGAATATGATCATTTATTTCAGGCAAGTGCAGCTTTCCTCACATTTAGGGTAGTCACTTTAAGACTGCACAGCTTTTTGTAAATAGCCTTTTATCAGGTAATGCAGCTTTTCCTGCATTTCCTGTGATTTATTTTTGGTGGCGCAGCTTTTCTAACATTTACGGTAATTCCCACAAATACCCCTGCATCTCTCAGCTGAAAAGCATAAATGTAGCAACTCTGAAATGTCACATATTTATTTCACCTTAATGATAAAAGTAATTTAGTATTAAACCAACAATAATGCTCCATAATCTTCCACTGTATTATGGTGCTTTAATGTGGAACAGGATTTGTCATCACTCTTAACACTTGTTAAAGCTGTATATCAGTGCTATATATACCACCTAAATATGATGTTTTGTCATGTGGTTGGTTCTGAGTACATATTAAGTGTATAGAATATATACTACAGATTGGTGGGATGTCTTGTTGTAAACAGTTTTAATTAAGATTTTTTTAAGGTTTGGCTTTGTGGCTTTTTATGTAGTTTTTAAAGGAATACACATGATTTAAAGGCTTCTATTCTATTCTATTCTATTCTATTCTATTCTATTCTATTCTATTCTATTCTATTCTATTCTATTCTATTCTATCAGTTGCATACTGTGTTTGTGATCAACACATTCTATGTTTCATTCCTTCCACAAACTTGGACCTGAAAGAATTTAATGTAGAAGTTCGTGTTGTGGGTTTGTTTTGGACTCAAAATGAACGATGGACTGCTGCACTGAGATATGTCAACAGAGCATTAACAGGAAAAAAAAAATGAAGATCTGGAAGGTGGGTGAGGTCATTGCTAGATGGTTAAAGGCTTACTGAAGAAAATGCTGGTGAACGCCACAGATACGCTGCAGAGATATCTCACGTGGACAAAACGCCCCACACCAACAAACACAACAACGTCATTATGTAATGTAATTAACGTAATACATCAAGCTTACACCATAGTGTGCTGTAACTTTCTTTAAAACTACATATAAGCAGTATATATAAATATAAACATGTGCTTCGGCTGCAGGTAATGAACACGATTATTTATATCACCATTAAGTCAAAATGCAATGAGTCCAATAACTCATCAGTCAAAGCAGTGTTTCTAAAACTTTTTAGTTCTGAGTTGTTACTGTCAGAAACTTGCATCCGTCACTACTGCTGGTTGATGCTCACCACACTAACAAAGCCACATAAAACCACATAATGACAACACAAACATCTATGGCTGCTGTATTTACGTTTTATTAAACATGCCATATTAGCAAATACTCTAATTCCTGATGTGACTTCTGGAGAGATTTAGTGTTTCATGACCCCCAGAGGGTAGTTTGTTTCTTGTGGACAAATGTTCTCTAAACACAAGAAGCTGATATAATAGATGAATAGGCCCGCTGTGAAACATGCAGGTTTGTTGCCCTTTCTGACACAACTTGGACTCCAACCTGCACCCTTACAAAATGGCAGCACTGACCACTGAGCTACCGTAGCTCCCCGCAGGTTAGAGTTCTGTCATTTTACAAAATGTCTGAAAACCATAAAAGCAACTTTTTATTCTCTGTAAACATTTCTCAGAAAAGTATTTTATAACTAATTAAAAACAGTTAATTGACATAATGAGAATAAAGGCTGATTGTGCTTAAAGACAAAGAAGATGATGAGCATCGTTTTATGAAAGCCTGAATAAAAAAGTGTTGCAAATGATTCTCTATGCGCAGATGTAAATTATATCAATAAAAGATGCTGAAATCCTGGAATAAAAAGTCCTGTACCAACAAGCTGAACATTAATATTGCAGGACTCTGATGGTGTTTAAAAACAAGATGCTTTATGGAAATCACTGCAGGATCTGAAGAAGAGCAGAGTTTATCACTGCAGAAACAAATGAACTAAAACTTCATGCAAATAAAGAAAAAACACAGAAGAAGAGTTCCGTCTTGTTTAAAACAAACCGATTACTCATAAAAATGGAAAATCAACTAATTTATAAAGATAGTACGGCTGGGAAGGAACCATTATTATGTAGTAAAAATCTAAAAAAGTTTAAAGGCTGCCAGTCAGAAGACATCTGTTTCAGTTTTTACACCTTTCTACATAAAAATGCAGGATCACATTCTGCACATTGGACACCTTAGGTGCCAAATCGACCAGCTGCTTGTTCAAACCTGCCATCCACTGAGAATTCAGCTTTTGAAACACATGAAACAAAAAATATGACAAAGGAAACATCAAGCTAATGATCTGATAAAACTTTGATTTTTAAAATCTACTCTAACTTTTCTCCTCAGCTCCAAAACCTCTAAAGAGTCGTAAAATAAGATGTAATGATAAACACATTTGTACAAACTAATTAAACAAGCTAAATCCAATGGCATTTTACTTTTGTTTAAAGCTCTTAAGCTCCCACACAGTATCTCATTTCCTTGTGAGACGATCACTTTCCGTCGCTGAAACATTAAATTGTGTTTGAGCACTTTAATGCCGGTGCGGAGCAGCAAAAGCAACAATGAAAGTTTAATGCGAGCACCGAAGGAGCGTTGAAACGACTCACGTTCTCTAAAGCCCACATTACTAATGCTGAACGTTTCTCCTATCAATAATTCATCCGGCTCCGGGGGGAGTTTGTGGTGTTCTTTAATGAGATGGAAAGATAGATCTGAATTCACAGTCAGGTCATAGCCGAAGTGTCAACACGCCATAACTCCCCCGAGGCCGGGGCCCTCCAGCAGTCTGCGGCTGCTGTCTGCAAACAACGAGCCGAAGACAGGATCACAACCGTGTCTGCTTCGATTTCTGCGCATCAAACCTCCTAATCTCTGCTCTCCGAGTTAACGAGCTGAACGCGACAGAAAACAGAAGTTTATGATAATTGTGTGAACGCTGACTCAGCATCCATATAATTGTTTTCCTGTTGTTTCTTTGTTTTGTACATTTTTTGCAATCAAACGTCTTCTGCATACATTTTGCTATTTAAATCATTTATAGGTTCATCACATTCAGAAGACGGGTAC